CAAATAGTAACAATATTTAAATTAAAAATTTCTGACATGATTAAACAAAAAAAGCTTTGACTCAATATTCCATAACTGCAAATAATAAAAATGATGATAATTATGTAATATTATCTGAATCATTTGAATTTCAGACTCTCAAAAAAGGATAGAGCAGAAGTCAAACAATCATTTAAAATTTTAATTTTTGATTTGGTGCTGAAAACATTAGGTGATGATGTTCTAAGCGTGGAATTATATTGATGTAATGAACAACGGATTAATTGAATTAACGAGTGAACTAATTATAAAAATTTATATGAGTGTTCACCAGAAATCTACTCTGGCTTACGTTCGAGGAGAAAGTGGATTATAATTATGATCGAACTTTTATTCAGTGAGCATAGCAATTAGCACATGAGCAAGTCATTTATTGCAATATGAAAAATTATCAAAATAAAGCTAATAAATTGGGACATTATTTTCATCAGTTGCGTTGCTTTTTGCAATTAGAATGATTATAAACAATGAATTGAAGAAAAGAATATTGAATCTGACAGGAAAAAGGGCATAATGAAAGGGGTGGCGCTAGTTTTCTAGAAGTTGCAGCTAACTGCGGCGCCTTTGATTTTTACTCCTACTTTTTACCCCTCGGAACGTACTGCGGAGACCTTTTAAGGGGTAACGGAACCAACCACAAAAAGACGTTTACCAAAAACAAGTTTTCTTGGATTGTATGCAATGAGAATCAATGAATTTTTCCCCGTATTGAGAGTAGCGGAACGCATCGCTCTCTTCTCATACTTTTCTTATTTATGCAAAAACAAATTGCAAATTATTAAACGGTAAGGACCAGGGCAAGGCCGACGCCATTTTATTTGTAGGAATCTGCCAAGTCATGGTAGAAAAACCGATTTTTTGTAAATTTTTCTTAGCCGATGGCTATTTTCATGAGAAGAGAGCGATCGAGTGAGGTCCAAGACAGAGATTTTGAGTACAAAACGTGCTTTTGTTGCGTAATTTTCGTAAAAACATGTTTGTGATGATTGGGTGGTATCCAGCAGGTAACATGTCCTTTACAGGGCACCAATTATAAGAGGGAAGTACTTTTACGAGTCAGAAGATGATGTAGAATGTTTCCATACCATTATTATTTATTTATATCCATTTATTTATATTTTAAGGGCTTTTGTACTTTTCACGTATAAAATCCAAAAAACCACGGGAACCTGCAATACCGATGGGGGGACCCCTAACCTCTACGTGTGACGGGTTCCGTTACCACTTAAGGGATAACGGAACCGACCACAAAAAGACGTTTACCAAAAACAAGTTTTCTTGGATTCTATAAAATGAGAATCAATGAAACTTTTTCCCCGTATTGAGAGTAGCGGAACGCATCGCTTTCTTCTCATCCTTTTCTTATTTATGCAAAAAAAATTTGCAAATTATTTACCGGCAAGGACCAGGGCAAGGCCGACTCCATTANAGGCCGACGCCATTTTATTTGTAGGAATCTGCCAAGTCATGGTAGAAAAACCGATTTTTTGTAAATTTTTCTTAGCCGATGGCTATTTTCATGAGAAGAGAGCGATCGAGTGAGGTCCAAGACAGAGATTTTGAGTACAAAACGTGCTTTTGTTGCGTAATTTTCGTAAAAACATGTTTGTGATGATTGGGTGGTATCCAGCAGGTAACATGTCCTTTACAGGGCACCAATTGTAAGAGGGAAGTACTTTTACGAGTCAGAAGATGATGTAGAATGTTTCCATACCATTATTATTTATTTATATCCATTAATTTATATTTTATGGACTTTTGTACTTTTCACCCCGCCCCCCCCTTAAGTGGTAACGGAACCCGTGGCACGTAGAGGTTAGGGGTCCCCCCTATCGGTATTGCAGGTTCCCGTGGTTTTTTGGAATTTGTACGTGAAAAGTACAAATCCCATAAAATATAAATAAGTAGAAATAAATAAATAATAATGGTATGGAAACATTCTACATCATCTTCTGACTCGTAAAAGTACTTCCCTCTTACAATTGGTGCCCTGTAAAGGACATGTTACCTCCTGGATACCACCCAATCATCATAAACAAGTTTTTACGAAAATTACGCAACAAAAGTACGTTTTTGTACTCAAAATCTCTGTCTTGGACCTCACTCGATCGCTCTCTTCTCATGAAAATCGCCATCGGCTAAGAAAAATCTACGAAAAAATCGGTTTTTCTACCATGACTTGGCAGATTCCTACAAATATAATGGAGTCGGCCTTGCCCTGGTCCTTGCCGGTAAATAATTTGCAAATTTTTTTTGCATAAATAAGAAAAGGATGAGAAGAAAGCGATGCGTTCCGCTACTCTCAATACGGGGAAAAAGTTTCATTGATTCTCATTTTATAGAATCCAAGAAAACTTGTTTTTGGTAAACGTCTTTTTGTGGTCGGTTCCGTTATCCCTTAAGTGGTAACGGAACCCGTCACACGTAGAGGTTAGGGGTCCCCCCATCGGTATTGCAGGTTCCCGTGGTTTTTTGGATTTTATACGTGAAAAGTACAAAAGCCCTTAAAATATAAATAAATGGATATAAATAAATAATAATGGTATGGAAACATTCTACATCATCTTCTGACTCGTAAAAGTACTTCCCTCTTATAATTGGTGCCCTGTAAAGGACATGTTACCTGCTGGATACCACCCAATCATCACAAACATGTTTTTACGAAAATTACGCAACAAAAGCACGTTTTGTACTCAAAATCTCTGTCTTGGACCTCACTCGATCGCTCTCTTCTCATGAAAATAGCCATCGGCTAAGAAAAATTTACAAAAAATCGGTTTTTCTACCATGACTTGGCAGATTCCTACAAATAAAATGGCGTCGGCCTTGCCCTGGTCCTTACCGTTTAATAATTTGCAATTTGTTTTTGCATAAATAAGAAAAGTATGAGAAGAGAGCGATGCGTTCCGCTACTCTCAATACGGGGAAAAATTCATTGATTCTCATTGCATACAATCCAAGAAAACTTGTTTTTGGTAAACGTCTTTTTGTGGTTGGTTCCGTTACCCCTTAAAAGGTCTCCGCAGTACGTTCCGAGGGGTAAAAAGTAGGAGTAAAAATCAAAGGCGCCGCAGTTAGCTGCAACTTCTAGAAAACTAGCGCCACCCCTTTCATTATGCCCTTTTTCCTGTCAGATTCAATATTCTTTTCTTCAATTCATTGTTTATAATCATTCTAATTGCAAAAAGCAACGCAACTGATGAAAATAATGTCCCAATTTATTAGCTTTATTTTGATAATTTTTCATATTGCAATAAATGACTTGCTCATGTGCTAATTGCTATGCTCACTGAATAAAAGTTCGATCATAATTATAATCCACTTTCTCCTCGAACGTAAGCCAGAGTAGATTTCTGGTGAACACTCATATAAATTTTTATAATTAGTTCACTCGTTAATTCAATTAATCCGTTGTTCATTACATCAATATAATTCCACGCTTAGAACATCATCACCTAATGTTTTCAGCACCAAATCAAAAATTAAAATTTTAAATGATTGTTTGACTTCTGCTCTATCCTTTTTTGAGAGTCTGAAATTCAAATGATTCAGATAATATTACATAATTATCATCATTTTTATTATTTGCAGTTATGGAATATTGAGTCAAAGCTTTTTTTGTTTAATCATGTCAGAAATTTTTAATTTAAATATTGTTACTATTTGTTCAAAGTGAAACAATTAATTATCATTTTCACGATGTTGCATTCAGATTCTTCCATACTCAAGTTCAAAAATATCAGAATCTCTCATAATTCTCACTATTGATTCTAATTAACTTTGAAGGAAACCCCAGTAAATGCACCATTGAGGAAGCTGAATCATTCTATTTTCCTGTGGCCTAAATGATTTGAGCAATTCTAATTTGTTTATCAATCAAAAAAACAGCGTGATTTGGTACAGAATATTCATCGTTTAAATGAGAATTCAAGTAACTTGAAGTTCTCTTCACATGCTGGTTAACCCCTCCTGAACTGGCGCGTAGAGCGGCGCGCCACTGCAGTGCAAGTGAGATGTAAGAGATCTAGCCAGTTCAGGAGGGTTGAAAGTGTTGAATTTCATTAAATTTACAGTGAAATTTGAAATTTCACGCCTTTTTCCTCTCAAACAGAAGTAAANTGTAAGAGGGAAGTACTTTTACGAGTCAGAAGATGATGTAGAATGTTTCCATACCATTATTATTTATTTATATCCATTAATTTATATTTTATGGACTTTTGTACTTTTCACCCCGCCCCCCCCTTAAGTGGTAACGGAACCCGTGGCACGTAGAGGTTAGGGGTCCCCCCTATCGGTATTGCAGGTTCCCGTGGTTTTTTGGAATTTGTACGTGAAAAGTACAAATCCCATAAAATATAAATAAGTAGAAATAAATAAATAATAATGGTATGGAAACATTCTACATCATCTTCTGACTCGTAAAAGTACTTCCCTCTTAAAATTGGTGCCCTGTAAAGGACATGTTACCTCCTGGATACCACCCAATCATCATAAACAAGTTTTTACGAAAATTATGGAACAAAAGAACGTTTTTGTACTCAAAATCTCTGCCTTGGACCTCCCTGGATCGCTCTCTTCTCATGCTCGCATGCTCAAATAGCCATCGGCTAAGAAAAATCTACAAAAAATTGGTTTTTCTACCATGACTTGGCAGATTCCTACAAATAAAATGGTGTCGGCCTTGCCCTGGTCCTTGCCATTAAATAATTTGCAATTTCTTTTTGCATAAATAAGAAAAGCATGAGAAGAGAGCGATGCGTTCCGCTACTCTCAATACGGGGAAAAAGTTTCATTGATTCTCATTGCATAGAACCCAAGAAAACTTGTTTTTAGTAAACGTCTTTTTGTGGTCGGTTCCGTTACCCCTTAAAGCACATGTAGTTTTACGATCGTGCTAAGGATATAATATCTGTACCATGCTCATTATCAGGAGAGATATCCCGGTCCTGTTTACTTTTCAGAAAACTTCATTACTGATTGATGATCGGCAATCATGATCTACTCTACTATTCAGAAAACTTCATTACCAACTGGTGGTCAACATAGTCAAAGGTAACTGCAATAACATCGGAGGGTACTTAGCACGATTTAAACACAGCATTTCTTAAATCACATGAAGAAAATCTCCCCATTGACCAAGCCTTGAATGCTGAAATTTATAAAACAATCGAAGGTAAGTTCTGCACTTATGTGAAAAACTATTTGCCATATTTCTCTCAACGGCTACTTCGTGAACTAGAAATCGAATTACACTAGAAGGAAAAATCTTTTTACGTGGATAATAAAGCCTATCTAAAGCTTATCAGTTTTCTCATAATTATAAGGAATCATCGAGTGAATGAATCCATTGAAAGTTTTTAAACATGATCAAATCCCCCCCCCCCCTCTACAATGACTTCTTATTGATATTTTCCTCTATCCTCTTTATGAAATAGACGTAGAACAGTCGCCATCTGAAAATCATTGGAACCTAAAATTTGACCCTTTGAATTTTCTAATTGAAATTTATCGTCATTTGTAGGTCATTTCCAATTATCATCGTATATAGTCCAACATGTATCACGTGTTCAACAACGATGTATGCATCTGTATCATGTGTGATTGTCTATATATATTTTTTTTCAGTGACTGTGAGGAAGGACTTCCCAAATTCTTTTAAACGAACGAAAATGAATCGAGTCATTAATGTAAAATCAATAAGCTTAGAGGTGAAGCAAGAAACGCTGCCAGACGTGCTGCTGGGGTTCGTGGTGCTGCACAAGGATGATGTGTGAGCGATGCACAGAATTAAAAGTTTTTTTTTCTCTTTAATTATACAGAAGATTCAATATTGAAAGACGAGATCTACCTTTTGTTAGTTCATTATGGTAGGCGTTGAAAAAATGCACATCAGTTGATCATAATTTTTTTGTTCTATTAATCCATTCTTTTGATATATAGGACTACGAGTGGATCAGTGGAAACAGAAATTGGACTGATTTGCAAGAGAGCATTGTCGATTTTATCTTGCCATTGAACGTATTGGATCATGTTATGATGTGAGATCTTGGCCCACTTATTTTTGAGTATGCGACACGTGTTCTAGAGATATTTGCCGTTAGAGCAACTATCTAAACCTTCGGCGAATTCTACAAAGTGATCTTTTTTAAGTGAACCTTCTTTAGGCCCGGCAGAGTAAGTCGATCACTAAAAACAAAAAAAATGTATTTGTAAAAAAACTGCACCAAGAAAAAATTGTTTGGTTTTTACTAGAGAGTGGATATTTTTGAAAAATACAAATAAATGAAAAAGAGAGCCAAGTTAGGAATGTCAAATAAATGGGTATAGTACACGATCGGATTTCTATAAGAAAAATAGTTTTCAATAGAAAAAGGATTTTTTTTAAATTCTCCATAAAATAAAAAATCAGTTGAAGCAGGACCAACGTCCTTGGCGCGTATCAGCAAAAGGAGGACTAGGTTGATATAGACAGTGACTAGAAAAAATCTGCGCCAAGAACGTTGGCCTTGCTCCTACTGATTTTCAATTTTATGGAGAATTTTTAAAAAATCCTTTTTCTATCGAGAACTTTTTTTCGTATAGAAATCCGATCGTGTACTATACCCATTTATTTGACATTCCTGACTTGATTTTCTTTTGCATTTATTTGTATTTTTTAAAAATGGCCACTTTCCAGTAAAAACCAAACAAAACTCTTTCTGAGCGCAGTTTCTTTATAAAAACATTTGTTTTTGTTTTTTAGGGAGATTTCACTAATTTTTTCAAAACAAGCACGGAATTGTTTTCATATCATGAGAAATTTCTTCTTTTCAATTGAACTCATTTATTTTTTCCCAAGATAAAACATTCTTTCAATTGATAATTGAAGGGAAACAAACAGTTTTCCTCCAGATTCATTGTCTCTATCAACTTTTGATTATTTATTCAAGATTTTCAGGTTTTTTTGATGAGATGGATGGAATTCCTTTCAAGAACAGCTGAACAAAATGTTCATTTAATAGATATTTTTATGAAAACATTTGTTTTTCATTTTGAATATATTATTAATTTTTTGTTTCACTCTAATATTCAATTCAAAGTGAGAAAAAACGTTTCCCGTGATTCTTCAACAATACATCATCACAAACCACATTTAAACACACTAGTGGCAACACTTCGACGTTGGATGTGAGCTCAGTTGGACTGGCACTGCCAACGTTGTAACTTGTTTCTGACACTTTATAATCTGAATCGCGAGAATGTGAATATCAACCCATTGCTATGCGCGTATCTTTTTAACTGTTAATCCAAAAAATACGATAGTTACACCGCTGAAAAGTTGATAGGCGTTTTATATAATGTAACTATGGACACTTTTCCGATATGTCGTCCTGTTTTTATTATTTCGAATGTCAATCATTCGGAGGTAGTGGAGGGATACGTTCTGTTGTGTATAGATACACGGTACATTCGACCTGATATTTTGTACAATCGGAGTCATAACTTTTCTTGGCCGATACGCTACCGCGTATCTCGATTACTCGGAGCGCCTGAAACACTGGGAGGGTATGCGCCCTTAGTACTCGCTGTAGGCGCTACCTCGTGAGTAAATATGGAATTGGTGTGCGTCTTAGCTGTATGCTATAACCACTATCAGGTATTATTTTATATTCATTTGCCAATTCTCTTTTGGAATTGTTATATTATCGTGTTCAACATTGATTATTGACAACTGTTGTGAATGGATTACTTAAGGTAAGTTCTTCACGACGAATGTTCGATATATGTAAATGAATACAATGCGCGAAGGTGAGATAGAATGGTCAATGAATGAAAACAAATGCCTTGATCATCAAAATTCTTTTGAAATCGTCTGTAATACCCAGAGGATAGTTGAATATTTTGAATCGTGTTAAATTCGTTACAAAACTAATAGATTGAATTTCGACCGTTTTGCAGTCTTTTTAATAATTACGAGATGGGAAATCATCAACCGATAACCAGAGTCATTGAGAGAGAATTATTTTACATTTCTAATCATCACAGAAATACCACGTCATCGGGAGTTCGGTTGGATTCGTATGTCGTCGTGGGTCTGATCCCGTTACTGGCCGCTGAGATGTCGCCACGAAAATTACTCCGATGTAAGGTATGATACAAGCAGGTATGATAAAGCCAGAAAACAGGGGACAAGTACGCCGGAGCGCCCCTGGCGAATAAGGATCCATGTTGTAGCATGGATGTAGCATGGATGTA